GGCGCCTTGGGAGCACCCGGCCTGCGTCCCTGGGGGCGTCCAGACCAGCAGCCTACCCGGAGCACTGCGATCCGCGCCCACCCTCAGGCTCCTGCCTCAGATCCTCAGCCAGTCCCAGGGGTCCGCGTGCTGGGGATCCCAGCAAGGGGGTCTCGCAGCTTCCACACCTTTGCCCCTCGCAGCTCCACTTGCGGCGTCCACATCAGAATCCAGCTGAGGCCGAGCACCTACGCCAGGAAGCCTCCCCGGATGGCCGGCGGGTGCAGGCCTGGGGTGGGCTGGTGGGCTCCCTCCCTCTGGGGTTCAGATCATAGCTGTGATCTTTCCCGTGAAAGGAAGGTAATGATAGCTTCTACCTCACATGGCTGTGGTAAAGACTGAATCCATTAATAGAAAAGCTCCACTTACATTTATTCTAGAGTTGTTTATTCAGCTACTCAGGAGGCCAAGACAAGGATCAGATGTTCAAGGCCAGCCTGGGAAACATAGCCAGACCCTTCCCTCTACATCAGGCCGAGGAAAAGGCCTGTGCAAAGGCCCAGAGGCAGGAAAACACAGCCATGTTCAAAGAACAGAAGATAACTTATTGTGGCCAGGACATAACGGGCAAAGGGGAGGATGGAGGAGAGAGAGGAGGCTGAACCACCAGGCAGGGCCTGCTAGGCCATGGTGGTGAGGATCTTGGATTTCACTCTAAAGATGAGAGGAGCCAGGCACAGTGGCAGCCATCTGTAATCCCAGCTTCTCTGGAAGCTGAGGCATGGGTAATGTAAGTTCAAGCCCAGCCTGGAACCTCTCTCTCAATAAATAAATAAATGACAGACTTGGAAAGTAGCTCAGTGGTAGAGCACTTGCCTAGCATGCACAAGGCCCTGGGTTTGATTTTCCATTGTGTGTGTGTATGTGTGTGTGTGTGTGTTTTGTTTGTTTTATGCTTTGTTCTTTGGTACTGGGAATCAAATTTAGGACCTTGCACTTGTGAGTCGGGAGGCAGAACCACTGAGCTAAATCCCCAGCCCCCTGGTTTTCGTTTTTAAAGACAGGGTTTCAGTATATAGTTTAGGTTGTCCTTGAACTCACTATGTAGCCCAGGCCGGCCTGAAACACCTGTAATCTTCCTGACTCGTCTTGCCAAGGGAGTGCTGAGCTTACAGGTGTGTGCCATCAAGCCCACAGCAGAGTGGACTGATGCATGAGGGGTGTGTCTACTGTGGCTTCAGGACAGAGCTCTCCAGGTGTCCTGGTTCCCACCCGGAGGTATACCCCCACGCACCGCATCAGAGTTCCAGGAGCCCAGTGCGGCTGCATGGACCTGTTTCAGCCTGTCTGGAGGAGCCTAGAAGGTCAGGGACTCAGAAGAAGGTGGCTAGAAAGAACCTAGAGTGGGCAGGATGTGCGCATCCTCTCTGTCCTGGACTTGGGCAGTGCCAGGCTGGGAGCCTTGAGAAGGCCCCGTGGAGTCATGGGGCCCTGCTAGGAAGGGCACAATGACTTCTGCTGTTGACTCTCGGGAAGAGGGGGTCCTTCCTTCCCCCAGCCTCACCTCTTAGACAGACCAGTGGCCAGAAGCCTAGGGACAGAAGATGGGACAGACCCTCCTCCACGAAGCCTGCAGGACATCGCCCAAAGGCGGGTGAGAGGCCTATGTGTGGACTCTACAATGGCCTGCTCAGGGGCCAGGGGCACCATTTCCGGGCCTCTGTTCCCCATCTCTCAAGGGCCTCCTGAGGAAAGGCATTCGAGAAGCACGATCCTCTCTTCCTCCCTGACCCATCCCCTGACGTGGAGTGGTGCTGTGACAGGGAACATCTGCTGGGGGAGCCGCCCGCCCCAGGGCACTCGGGGCGGCTGCGGAGCCGGGAACAGGACTCCGGAGTCCCTGGCCTGGAAGGGTGTCTTCCCTGAGCCTCGGAGGGCACCAAGGGGCGTGGCTCGGGATGGGACATGGCGGGCCTCTCATCGCCAAGCGCCCCACTGAGTGCGGGGGACTGAACGGAACGGGACCGGCGGTGACAGGCATCGATCAGGGTCCTGGAGGCCCTGCGGCTGGGACCCAGGGACCCCGACAGAAAGGGGCCTCTGCAGGCCAGTCCGCCTGTCCTCCACCGGGCCGTCGGCGCCACGCAGGACCCACCGCCGGTCCGCCGAGGAGGATGTAGGCGTCACACAGGACCCGCGGAAGAAACAGGATGAGGTGTGGGGCAAAGTGGAATCTGGGCAGAGGGCTGCACGTGGAAGGTGGTGTCATAGGAGGGGCGGGGCCAGAGCTCAGGGGACTGGGAGGGCGAGGACGGGCTGGGAGTGGGCGGGACTCCGCCGAGGGGCGGGGCCAGAGGACGGACCGAGGCCTCCAGGGAAGCGGGACCAGGTGAGGGGAAAGTCGGACCAGCAAGTGGGGCGGCGGCGGGGGTACCCGTGACCACCAGCGAAGGTGCGCTACCCAGCGCTCGGTCCCGCACAGGCTAGGAGGACTAGCATGAAGACCCGCAGCTGCAGGGGCCAGAACAGAAAGCGCTTGTTAAAAGGTGGGTGGCGCCCACCCGTTATCCCTGCACCTAAAAAGGCTGAGGCAGAAAGATCTCCAAATTCGAGTTCCGCCTGGGCAATTTAGCAGGCCCCTGTCTCCAAAGAACACAGAAAGGGCTAGAGCAGGGCGCCTGTAATCCTGGCACTCAGGAGACAGAGGCGGGAGGATTGCCTGAGTTAGAGACCATCCTGGGCCACACAGTGACTTCAGGGACAGCCTGAAATACATAGCGAGGCCCTGTCTCAAAAGGGAAGGAAGAGCCGGGGATTTAGCTCAGGGGTGCTGCCCTGCCTCGAAAGTGCAAGGTCCAGAGTTAGATCCCTGGTGCAAAAGAAAGAAAGTAGAAAGTAGAGCTGTAGTTCAGTGGCAGAGTGCCCATGAGTTTGAGCCCTAGCTCCACAATAAATAAATATGGGTTTTTAAAAAAGTGAACAAAGCCACCCGAGCTGGTGCATGCCTGTAGTCCCAACTACTTGGAGGCTGAAGCGGGAGGATCTCTGGAACCCAGGAGTTTGAGGCCAATCTCTGCAACATATCAAGACCCCTGTCACAATTTTTTTTTTTAATCTAGGATAAAATAAAAATATGAACAAACTGGCTGGATCAGAACCGACTTTAAATCAGGACAGCCACAGGGCTGGGTACTTAAGGCGGATTCTGTGGCTCGTGACCATTCCTGGAAAGTGATCCTGGGTACTGGACACTGGACAGGACGGCAACCCGGAAATGTACACACCCTGGCAATCTGACTTTGGGTGACCCCTTCCCTTTCCCTCCCTTCCCCAAGCTGAGGTGCCTGAACCCCCAGGGGTGAAATCCCGGAAGTGAGGAGCACCAGCTCTGCCCTGGTCCCTTCAGGTCCTGCTCTGGGCTCCATGCTGTGAACCCAGAACAGCCTGCAGCTTCTCCAGGTATTTTAGTGCACGCCAGGCTATGAGGGACTCTGGCCAAGCCCCAGGGCCTGGACCCCTGTCTTCTCTGGATACAACTGGCTCGTGGGCCTGAGCAAGGGGGTGCAGCCCCCGGATGTGGGGAGGATGCTTCTGGGTTCCCCCGCCAAGCCCTCCAACCTCAGCTCCTGAGACTGCCTCCCCTCGTCTCCCACACACCCAGCCAGGCTGGCCTGCAATCCTTAGGACATGCCCACCATGGGCACCCATGTCAGGACATCAGTCACCGCTCCTCCCTCTGCTCAAGGCCGCTCCGTCAGGATCGAGACATTGATTCCAGTCACCTGTTCCCTTGTAAGAAATCGTTACTGGCACAACATACCTGGTCTTTCACAGGCTTGGGCTATGTTTTATACACTAGTTTCAGTAGCTGTGGCAAACTATATTTTGGTTTGATTTAGTGTTTTTTGTTTGTTTGTTTTGTTTGGGGGGGGTTGGTACTAGGGATTGAACTCCAGTCCTTGTGCCTTTCAGGCATGCAACAGAACCACTGAGCTAAATCCCCAGCCCTGGTTTGGTTTTTTTGTTTGTTTATTTTGGTTTTTTTGAGTCAGGGTCTCACTATGTAGTTGAGACTGACCTGGAAGTCACTATGTAGTCCAGCCTGTCCTCAAACTTTCAGTGATCCTCCTGTCTCACCCTCCCGAGTGCTAAGATCACTGGTGTGCACCACCACACCCAGCTGTTTTTCTTTTGTTTTGTTTTTGGTACCAGGGATCAAACTTGGGACCTTGCACTTGAGAAGCAGGCGGTGGAACTGCTGAGCTAAATCCCTGGCCCTCGTTTGGTTTTTTGAGAATCTCATTATATAGACCAGCTTGGACAGTTTATGAGAACCTGTCTCAATGTATAAAATAAATAAAAATAGCTGGGGATGTAGCTCAGTGCAAAAGCTTAATCCCCATTATGAAAGAAAGAAAGAATGAATGAACGAACGAAAGAAAGAAAGAAAGATAGATGGGGGAAGCAATAGGGAGGGAGAGAAAGGAAGAGAGGAAAGATAGAAGGAAGGAAGGGAGGGCGGGGGAATTACCCAGTCTGGGAGCCAAACATTGTAGTGCACGCCTGTAATCCCAGCACTCGGGAGGCTGAGGCAGGAGGATCGCTGTGAGTTCGAGACCACACTGGGCTCCATAGTGAGTTAATGGCAGGGCTTCGAGAGAGGGGGCTCATTCAGGAACCTGCCTGCAGTAGTTGGTAGGATTGCAGGATTGAAAAAGGGACAAGGGGTAGTCAGGCATGGTGGCTCACACCTGTGATCCCAGCATTCAGGAGGCTGAGGCAGAAGGATCACTGAGAGTTCAAAGCCAATCTGGGCTACATAGTGAGTTCAAGGCCAGCCTAAACTACATAGAGACCCTGTCTCAAAAAAACAAAGAGAGAGAGAGAGAGAGAGAGAGAGAGAGAGAGAGAGACTGTGGATGCAGCTCAGTGCAAAGGCTCTGGGTTCAATCCCCTGAATAAATAAATAAGTAAATAAATAAATTTTTAAGGGGGGAATAAAGGACTAAGATTTCTGTGGGTTTTTCTGTTTGTTTGTTTGTTTGCTTTTTTATCAGTATGTGTCTGTGACTGATCGTGAAGACATTCATCATGGGAAGTTACTGGCCTGAACTGTTTGTTTTTAAACAAACTATAGCACCGACTCTTCCCTGTCAGTAAAGGCAAGCTCCTGCATGGGTGAGAGTACAAGGCCTGTCTGGATTTAAACACAGTTTGCAGTGTTCTGCGTTTGTTTGTTTGTTTTTGTTTTTTGTTTGGTGGCCAGGGATCAAACTCAGGATTTTATGCTCTCGAGGCAGGTGTGGCACCACTGAGCTAAATCCCTGGCTGCTTTTACAAAATTTAGAATGCTGCAATGTTTTCAAAGTTCATAAACAGTAATAGACGGGGAAAACAGGACCGGAGACGTAGATCAGTGTGGAGGCATTGAGCTCAAGTCCCCATACCACAAAACTGTGGCAAACACCTTTGATCTCAGTTCTCGGGAGGCTAAGGCAAGAGGATCACAAGTTTGCGGCCTCCGACAGTCGGCACACTCACAAAGCAGCAGGAGTGACGGGGCTGGTCAGGAAGGGTGACTGGTTTCAGTCTTCCTGCCTCTCCACCTGGCCCTCACCTGAGTCACGACTTTCAAAAATGCTGTACAAGCGTGTTATGTGTGGACACCCAAGCCTCCCTAGTGTCCTTCAAATTTTAGTTCAAACATCATCTCCCAGAGATTCTCTGAGCCAAGTGTGATGATGCACACCTGTCATCCCAGCTCTCAGGGAGGCTGAGGCAGGAGGATCACAAATTCAAACCCAAGCTAGACAATTTAGTAATTTAGCGAGACCCTGTCTCAAAATAAAAACAACAATAAAAACAAAGAACTAGGGATGTAGCTCAGTGCAGAAGCCATGAGTTCGACTCTCAGTACTGGAAAAAGAAAAAGAAAAGTGCTGGGAAGAAAATAAATCCAAACAAATTAGAGACAGCACTTTCCCTGGAGGTCAGGGAAATTCTCTCATTTATTTATTTATTGTTTTTTGGGTTTTTTTTTTTTTTTTTTTTTTTTTTTTTTTTTGTTTTTTTTTTTTTTTTTTTTTTTTTTGTTTTTTTTTTTTTTTTTTTTTTTTTTGTTTTTTTTTTTTTTTTTTTTTTTTTTGTTTTTTTTTTTTTTTTTTTTTTTTTTGTTTTTTTTTTTTTTTTTTTTTTTTTTGTTTTTTTTTTTTTTTTTTTTTTTTTTGTTTTTTTTTTTTTTTTTTTTTTTTTTGTTTTTTTTTTTTTTTTTTTTTTTTTTGTTTTTTTTTTTTTTTTTTTTTTTTTTGTTTTTTTTTTTTTTTTTTTTTTTTTTGTTTTTTTTTTTTTTTTTTTTTTTTTTGTACCGGGGATTGAACTCGGGTCCTTGCGCTTGCAAGGCAGGCCACCGAACCGCTGAGCTAAATCCCCGGTCCCTATTTGTTGTTTTTTTGAAACAGGGTCTCACTCTGTAGCCCAGGTTGGCCTCGAACTCATAGGGAGCCTCCTGCCTCAGTCTCTCAAGTGCTGGGATTCCAGGTGTGCGCCACCAGGCCTGGCTTAAATTTAATTTCTTCCCCCTTGGTACTGGGGATGGAACCTCGGGTCTTTACACTGGACTACGGCCCAGCTCCAAACCCTCCTGCCTCAGCCTCCCGTGGGACTAGGTTGCGAGTGTACATCACCACAGCCAGCTCCCACACTTTACATCATCAAAGATTAAACACAAAGAAACCTTCAGTCTGGTGTGACCTGCTTCACTGCACTCTAAGGCTGTTCTCTCTGTCCTTCCACTCCCAGATTGGGATAAATGAGATCAGCCTGTTAGGCTGCTGCCTCACTGTTGAATTTCTGTTTGGTGCACTTGAAAGCCACAGTTTACAAATTTCAATCTCCAATTCTTCTTTGCTGTTATGCAGAAATCCAATAGCCAAGCCTGTAATACCAGCACTGAGGAGGCTGAGGCAAGAGGACCACTGTGAGTTCGAGGCCAGCCTGGGCTGTAAGGCCAGCCTGACTACCTAGTGAGAACTTGTCTCAATCAATCAATCAATCAATACAATTGATTTTTGTGCATTAGCTTTATATCTTTGGTTTGTTAAATTCATTTACAAGTTATATTAGCTCCCTTAGCTGCTATAACAAAATACTCAAGGCTGAGTGGCTTAAACACTAGACATTTCCTTTATCTTTTTCTTTTGTTTTTTGAGACAGGGTCCCCCAATATAGCTTAGGCTGGCCTTGAACTCATGGCAATCCTCCTGCCTCAGCCTCCCAAGTGCTGGGCTTACAGGTGTGCACCACTGCACTGGGCTCACAAAGCAGAAATTTTTTGTCTCATGATTCTGGAAGCTAGCAGTCCAAAAACCAAGGATCAGAAGGGCTGGCTCTTTTGAAGGCTGAGAAGGAAGGCTCTCTCTTAGGCCTGTCTTTGGCCTAGATACACCTGTCTTCTCCCCGTGTCCCTTACACTAACTATTTCCCTTCTCCCGTGACTGTGAGCAGGGGACAGCACCTGCCCAGCAGCTGTCCGCTCTGGCTTTCACCCCAGGACGACCTCAGGAGAAAGTGACTAATTTCCTCATGTGACTAGCTCGCCATCCTGATGGTTCCCCCAAACCACCTTTTGGTTTTCTTTTGTTTGCCTTTGAATATTTTAAAAATTTCTCTTGAGAGTTCTCTGGCCCGTGAGTGGTTTGAAAGTGATTTGTTTAGTTGCCAAATATTTGATTGTTCCCCAGATATTCTTCTGTTCCGGGTTGCTGGTTTCATTCTGTTATGATGACAGAGCATATCATTATAAATTTTTTATTAGTACATGTTTACAACAGATAACATTTTAAATGTTAAATAAACACTTGTGAAATGTAAAATGCCTGACACAGGCCCATGGGAGAAATGTTGCAAGTGCAGTTGCCAAGGTCGTGCACTGCACTACCAAGCAGGTAGCTCTCTGGAGTGTTAGCCAGTTCGAGTTGGTCAGTGGCATCACTCAAGCCTCACATCCTTGCCAACTGTCTGCTGTATCAGTTACTGAAAGAGCCCTATTAAACCGGGCATGCGGGTGCAGCTTGTAGTCGAAGCACCGGGAGGCTGAGGCAGGAGGGTCTTTAGTTTGAGGGCAGCCTAGGCAACTTAGTAAGAACCTGTCTCAAAAGAAAGTGAAAGGGGAGAGAGAGAGAGAGAGAGAGAGAGAGAGAGAAAGGCAGACAACCATGTTGACTTCTACAAATTAGTTGTAATTCCTTGTTCCCCTTTCAGATATATCTGTTTTGCTTTGTACGGCACAGGGATACACATTCAGGATTGTCATGTCTTCTGGTAAGTGAACTTTTTAATCATTCTACAGTTTTCTCCCTGGCAATTTTATCTTGTTCTAAAATCTGCTTCCGTTATTATTATTGCTGTTGCTGTTGTTGTTATTTTTGGTACCAGGGATTAAACTCAGGACCTTGCTCTTGCAAGGCCAGCAGCAGCACCACTGAGCTAAATCCCTGCTCCGTGCTTCTATTATTAATTTAGGCCTCCCAACTATTTTTTTCCTCCTGGTACAAGTACTATGCACTGAGCTATGTCCCCAGCCCTTGTTTGTTTGTTTGTTATTTTCAGGGTCTCCCTAAGTCACAAAACTGCCCAGGCTGGGCTCAAACTTGTAGTCCTCCTGCCTCAGCCTCCCAGAGTGCTGGGATTTTTTTTTTTATTATTGAGTTTATTGGTACATTTTAGGTATACAGAACAGTTACATTCATTATTGGGATCTTGTACCTTTACATGACAGGTCTTGGTTCTCAGTTTTTCCCCTTGTCCCTGCCCTCCCTTCACCCTAGAGTGCTGGGATTAATGGGTACACCCCATGCCAGTTGATCCTTCTTGTTTTAACATATGGAATTATACAATATATGTGGGCATGGTGGCTCACACCTGCAATCCTAAAGAGTGCTGGGATTAATGGGTACACCCCATGCCAGTTGATCCTTCTTGTTTTAACATATGGAATTATACAATATATGTGGGCATGGTGGCTCACACCTGCAATCCTAGCACTGAGGAGGCTGAGGCAGGAGGATCACTGTGAGTTTGAGACCAACTTGGATTGTGTAGTGAAACCCTGTCTCAAAACAAAACAAAACCAAACCCAGAAAATCATATAGAATTATACAAAATATAACCAAAAGATAAAATGAATGTTTAATTTGAAATTTTTTTGCCAGGCACAGTTGTGCACACTTGTATCCCAGCACTCAGGAGGCTGAATCCAGGCCAGCCTGGACTACATAGCAAGACCTTGTCTCAAAAACCCCTCAAGCAGGGCTGGGGATACATCAGTGGTTCTGTCACCACAAACCTGGCTCTTCCTCAAAGTCAAAATGGCCATGAAAGGTAAACATTTTGAATCAATGCAGGACACTGAGGCTGTCATAACAGTGCAAATAAAGAGACTCACAAGAAGATGTACAGAGCTGCTTCAGAAAGAGACAAGGACAATGTAGGCTGCTTCTCTGGCCAGAATACGAGGCTTTGCTTTTGGAGATTTTTGCTGCCAAACCAGGTGACCAGCTGGTTTCTAGAGGAGGTGATTTTGGAGGTTAAGCACAGCTTTCCAATTCATATCGCCCCGGCTCCAACAAAGCCACGAGATAAAGGGAGAAAATTCCCCGGGAAACTTCCTGCTGCTGCCGCTGCCATATCGGTTGTTTTTCAAGCATGGGATTTCCACGTCAAGCTGCTCTCTCATATTTATTTTTCAGAGTTCTTCCTTAAATTGACACTTTTTGTATTTGTCTGGAGCTTTTCATTGTCCTCAAGGGGACAGACAGGCTGCAGAAGACTGGCTGATGTCCACTCACCCTTCATTGCCTCAGTGTCTCTGTCTCTCTGTGTTTTTGAGAGTCTCACTGTGTACCCAGGCTGGCCTCAGACTCACAACGATCCTCCTGCCTCAGCCTCCCGCACACTGAGATTCAAGGCCTGCACAACCGTGCTCTGTTTTGAGATAATTTTAGACTCACGGAAGTTGTAAAAACAGGATAGAGAGTTCCTGTATGCTTTTCCCCGGCTTTGTCTTTTGTCAGTGTCCTCTATAATGACAGAAGCCTCATCAGGATGAAGAAACTGGGCTGTGCCGGTAGCTCAGGGGTGCAGTACTCGTCTAGTGAGGACAGAGCCCTGGGTTCCATCTCCAGCACTGAAAAAAACCAAAAAACCCAAGAAATCAGCCTTGTTATATTACTGTTGACTAAAGCACAAAAGCTGCTTGGATTCGATTTGTTTTGTGCCGACTGTCCTTTTGCTGTTCACGTTATTCATTATCCAACACAGGACACCACATGGCATGTGACTGTTGTGTCTCTTTGGTCTCATTTAACCAGTGATGGTTCTTGTCTTTTCCACAACCTTGACAGTTTTGAATCCCTGTCAATCTGGATTGTTCTGAGGTTTTCCCAGGATTCAGTTGAGGTTCTGCATTCCTGGGAAAACATCACAGAAGCAATGTCACACCTTTTCAGGTGCATTCTCCAGGGTCCCTGATGCTATTAACATTTTTTTTTTTTTTTTAGACAGGGTCTCACTATGTAGTTGAGACTGACCTGGAACTCAATGTGCAGCCCAGGCTGGTCTCGAACTCACCGTGATCCTCCTGCCTCAGCCTCCTGAGTGCTGGGATTACAGGCGTGTGCCACGACGCCCGGCCAACATTTTTTTGACGTAGCAAAATATTTATTGGTACATTTAAAAAATTTTATGTATTTCATCTATTTTTTAATCTATTTGTTTTTTTGAGACAGGGTCTCACTATGCAGTTCAGGCTGCCTTTGGACTCACTATGTAGCCCAGGCTGGCCTTGAACTCACAATGATCCTCCTGCCTCAGCCTCCCGAGTGCTGGGATTACAGGCATGCGCTACCACGCCTGGTTAACTGGTACATTTTAGATATACATAATGATCACATTCATGTTAGGAAATTTGTACCTGTACATTAATTATATCACTTGATTCTTCTTTTTTTCCCATTTACCCCCCTCTCTTCAAACCCTCTTCCCCTCTTTATTTACAATTTTTTTGTTTCCTTTTTTTCCTTCTATTCTTTTTTTTTCTTGTCCCTTCTTTCCTTTCCCCCTACCCTCTCTGTTGTCCCCCTTCTCATTTGAACATTTTCTTCCCACTCCAAGAAGGGGAATAGCTAAGTCAAATGGAACTTCCGGATTTTTTTTTTTTTGAGAAATCACCACACTGATTTCCACAGTGGTTGCACCAGTCTGCACTACTGGAGAAGGGATCCTTTTTCCCTGCAGCATTTGTTACTGGTTGATTTCTTGATAACAGCCATTCTTTCTGGAGTGAGATTAAATCTCAGCATTGTTTTAATTTGCATCGCTTGGAAGACCAGTGAAGTTGAACATTTTTTCATATATTTATTTGTGATTTCTACTTCTTCATCTGAGAAGTGTCTGTTCATATCAGATGCCCATTTTTAGTACGGGTCTCTAAATTTGGGGAGCGATGGGCCACGGATTTAGCTCAGTGGTGCCGCCGTCTGCCTCACAAATGCAAGGACCTAGTTTTGATCATATTCAATTGGGTTATCACAGTTGCCTTACAATTCAGAGCTAGTCTAAGGCTTAAGTGCACAGTTTAATGGCCACAGCTGGCATGCAGAAAGAGAATGGTATGTGCCACTGGCCATGACAGAGGCCAGCGCAGGTCACTGACACCCTAGCACCTGTATTAGCTCGTAGCATCCACAGCTGAAGACCCCGTGATTCTTGCTCATCCTCTATAAAAAGTTAATATTAATCTAAGGGAAAGAACAAGTTCCCATTAGCCTAAGATTCACTTCTGGCCAGGATGCCTTGTTCTGTTCCTGCTAGGCCCCACTCACATGAACACCTCTGATCACAGCATACCTGACCGTACGCCCCCTTGCTGCTGTGTACTCAATGAATACCGGCCAGTCCGGAGGGTCAGGTGTCTGCTCACTAGAACCTATGACCTCCAGGATCTTATTTCATTTGCTATCATCTTTGTCTTCGTTCTGCATTGCGTACCTAATCAGGTTTCCAGGGCTGCATGGGGGCTCCCTGATGGGGGGGGGCTGGTTTTATTTTAGTTCTTTATATATTCTAGATAGTAGTCCCTTGTCTGAAGAACCGCTGGCAAAAATGTTTCCCACTTTGTAGATCGTCTCTTTACTCTGTTGGTGGTTTCTTCTGTTGTGCCAAAGCTTTTTAATAAGATGAGATCTTAGCTGTTGATTCTTTGTGATATTTTCTGTACAGTCAGCATTTTATTCATCGTCTGTGCCTACACCGGTGTCTGGGAAAGGTCTACCTATTCAATATTCCAGCAGATCTAGGGTTTGTGTTTTAATATTTAGATCTTTGATCCATTTTGATTTTAGTTTAGCTTATGGTGAAAGATATGGGTCTTTCTTCAGCATGTGGAAAGCCAGTGTTTCCAACACCACTTATGTATTTATTTACTTATTTTTCCAGCACCATTTAATAAAGAGGCTCGCTTTCTTCCAGTGAAGGTGTTTGGCTCCTTTGTCAAAGATAAGGTGGCTGAGTGTGTCTGGAGTTGTTTTGGATCTTCTAATCTGTCCCATTGATCCTTGGGTCTATGTTGTTGCCAGTGCCATGCTATTTTTATCACAGTAGCTTTGTAGTATGATTTCAAGTCAGGGACTGTGATGCCTGCTGCCTTCCCTTTGCTGTCCAGAACTTCTTTTGCAATTCTCTCGGTCTCCTCTGGTTTCAAATGAATTTTAGGATTTTATTTTCTCTAATTCTGTGAGGTATGCTATTGATATTTTGATTGTGATTACAATAAATCTGTGTAACAGTCTCAGAAGTATGGCCATTTTCACTATGCTAAGTCCTTCTACCCAAGAACAAGAGATGTCTTCCTATTTTCTGATATCCTCTTCAATTTATTTTTTCAGAGTACTGTAGTTTTCCACGTAAAGGTCTTTTAATTCCTTTGTTAGATTGATTCCTAGGTGTTTCATTTTGGGGAAATGCTAGTGTGAAAGGTGTTCTTTCCCTAATTTCTGTCTCAGTGAGTGAGTTTGTTATTTGTGCAGAGGAATACTCTTGATATTTGAGTGTTGACTTTGCTATGCTACTGAATTTTCCCATTAAATCTAGGAGTCTTTTGGTGGAGTTTTGGGGTCTTCTATGTAGAGTACCATGTCATCCACAATTAATGATAATTTAACTTCTTCCTTTCTTATCCTTATTCCACTTGTTTCTTTTTCTTGTCTAAATGCTCTTGCTAATGTTTCCAGAACAATATTGAATGAGAGTGATGACAGTGGACATCCTTGTCTTGTTCCTTATTTTAGACTGAAAACTTTCAGATTTTGTCCATTTAGATGATGTTTGTTGTTGGTTTGGCATAGATGGCTTTTATGAGATTGAGTTAAAGACCTTCTATTCTAATTTCCTGTAGAATTTTTGAATGAAAGGGTGTTGGACTTTGTCAAATGCTTTTTCTGCATCTATTGAGATGATCATATGGCTTTCGTCCTCTGCTCTGTTAATATGTTTATTACATTTATTGATTTGTGTATGTTGAACCATCCCTTCATCCCTGGGATGAATCCTACTTGGTCATGGTGTGTAACCTTCTTGATGATTTGCTGCATTCTGTTTGCCATTATCTTATTGAGGATTTTTGAGTGTGTTCATTAGGGACATTGGACAGTAGTTCTCTTTTTTGGTTGGATCCTTCTCTGGTTTGGTTATCAGGGTAATGCTTGCTTCTAGGATGAATTTGGGAGTATTGCTTCCCTTTAAATTTCATTAAAGAGTTTGTAAAGTAGCAGCATTAGGTCTTTAAAACTCTTGCAGAATTCAGCGATGAATCCATCAGGGCCTGGGCTTTTCTTTGTTGGTAGGTTTTCAGTTACATCTTCAATTTCATTGGCTGATATTGGTTTATTTAGAATTTTTATATCTTCTTGATTCAGTTTTGGTAATTTGTATGTATCTAGGAATCTGTCCATTTTTTCTGATATTCCATCTTATTAGAATACAGGTTCTCAAAGTAGGTATTGGTGATCTTCTAGATTTCTGCAGGATCTATTGTGATTTCACCCTTTTCATTCCTAATTATATGGATTTGAATATTTTCTTTCTTTTTTTTAATAAATTTTATTTTATTTTATCCCATCCCTACCCCTGTTCAATTTCCCTCCCTTGAGTGTTTTCTTTCCTTTTTTTTTTCAATAAGGCTAGAGGTTTGTCAATTTTATTTAATCTTTCAAAAAAAGAAACAACTCTTCAATTCATTGATTCTTTGTATTGCTTTCTTAGTCTCCACTACATTAAATTTTTGCTCCGATCTTTTTTTTTTTTTTTTAGTATATATGCTGCTGAAGCAAGCTCTTTGCTCTGATATTTATAATTTCCTCCCTTATACGAGCTTGGGGCTTGGCTTACTCTTCTTTTTCTAGAAGCTTGAGGTTCAAAATTAGGCTTTTTGTTGTTTTTTGTTTGTTTGTTTTGTACCAGGGATCAAATTCAGGACGCTGTACTTGTGAGTCAGGCACAATGCCACTGAGCTAAAATCACAGGCCCTCAACATTAGGTTTTTTATTTGAGCTTGCTCTGTTTTTGTGGTATGGGAATGCATCACTAAAAATTTCCCTAGTAGGGGCCAGGGATTTAACTCAGTTGCACCACCCCTGCCTCACAAGTGCAAGGTCCTAAGTTTGATCCCTGGTATCAAAAATAAAGAAACAAAAATTCCAGGGTGGGGGGTTTGGCTCAGTGGTTCTGCCTTCTGCCTTGAAAGTACAAGGGCCCAAGTTTGATCCCCGGTACCAAGAAAAAAAAAAATTCCCTAGTAGAACTGCTTTTATTGTGTCCCATAAGTTCTGGTATGCTGTATTGGCACTATCATTTAATTATAGAAACTGTCTGATTTCTTCTTTAATTTCATCTGTGACCCATTGTTTATTCAAAAGAGTGTTATTTAATTTCCATGTATATTAAGTTCTTGTGGTTTCTTTTGCTGGTGACTTCTAATTTCATTGCACTGATAATATGCATGGGATGGTTTCAGTTCCTTTGCATTTACTTAGACATGTTCTGTGAGCTAGTATGTGATCTATTTTGGAGAATGTACCGTGTGCAACTAGAAGAATGTATATTCTGATGTTGTGGGGTGGAATACATTGTAGACATCTACTAAGTCTACATGTTCAAAAGTTTGGCTCAGTTCTGATATATCTTTGTTGGTTTTTTTTTTTTTTTTTTTAGTACTGGGGATCGAACTTGGGTCCCCATTGAGCTTGCAAGGTAGTTGGCAAAACCACTGAGCTAAATCCCTGGCCCTTTGTTGACTTTTTTATCTAGTTGATCTGTCTATTTATGACAGTAGGGTATTGCGGTCCCCCATTACAATTGTATTAGTGCTTATTTGATTTTTCATGTCTGTTAATATTTGTTTTATATAGTTGAGTGTGCTGGTATTTGGTGCATATATATTTACAATTGTTATCTGTTCCTCTTGGATTATTCCCTTAACAAGGATGTAGTGAACTTCTATATCTCTTGTGATCACTCTTGGCTTGAAATTCACTTTGTTTGCAAATAGAATATTTGCTTTTCTCCAGATTCCTGCTGCATAGAATATTGTTTTCCATCCTTTGACTTTCAGTCTGTGATTTTTTAAAAATCAAATGTGTTTCTTTTATGCAGCATATTGTTGGATCTTGCTTCTTGATCCACTCTGCCAGTTTCTTACTTTTGATTGTTGAACTGAGACCATTTACATTGATGGGTATAACTGATATGTATTGACATATCCTTGTCATTTAATTTTCCTTTTGTTGGTTCCCCTTTTTACCCCCCCCCATTTATAATTACTTGTCTTGCCTGGTGGGTTCATTCTGTTAGGGTTCATGGAGTTGTAGTCCATATTATCTCTTTCTAGAATGTCTTTCAGAACATTTTGGAATGCTGCTGTGGTAATCATGAATTTCTCCAGGTGCTCTTTGTCATGGAAGTATCTTATTTCTCCATCAATTTTTTTTAAGTTCAGAATTTTTAAGTGTTGCTTATACATATTTATGATTTTGAGGTCTTACTGTTAATAGCTATCTTTTAAAAAAGGGAAATGAGGAAAGGGATCCTTTTCTCTCTTTCTCCTTTTCTTTTCTCCCTTTTTAAAATTATTCGTATGAATTTCACGGTGGACTAGTTGCATTCACATGGATGTGCTGTGTCTCGTTCCTATTAGCAGACATGAATTCATCACATTGTTCTTCTCTCACTAAAAGGGTTCTTTGCCCAGTAATCTCAGAGTCTTCATGTTGGTACAGTGGAGTCATGCCATGTAAGGTCTTCAGGTCTTAAAGACTCCTGAAGCATAATATCAAGCATGCTGAAAGTGATCCCTTAAAAATCTCTTAAATTGCCAATTAAGTTCCCGTTATCAGTTGGAATCCCTTGGAGTGATATGTAGGTCTGACTATATTGTGCTTATAATAAGTACACTATGTAATAAAACTGCATACTGGCAGTTAAAAAATAAAGTTTTCAACATAGAGTATTCTTCAGTGGGCTCAAAAAGTTATTGTCACCTCTCCAATACTACAGCAGGTGAATTGCTAGTGATTTTTTTTCTTCCAAATTGCAATGGATTTTTAAATAATATTTTGCAAACACTGGCTGAACTCCCTAATTTGTTATAAGTTCTGTGCCCAACAGCCAGGGGTAGAAGCAGGAGGAGCCCTTCCTTCTCTGGAGAAGTTACTTTCTTAGCAGGGTGACACTGTGCAAACAGTTGATGTCCTGTACTACTAAGAAGGGAAACATTTTGCAGAGGGAAGTTTTACTATGTGGCTGCTGGCAGAGGTGTCCTGGAAGGCAGACGGGGTCAAACTGTGACATTTTCTTCTACTTTTCTTTCCCTTCAGGAAACCCCAGGGCAGCTTACTAGGAAGTGCAGCTCCTACACAACACTGTGTCTAAATGACAGCACACTCAGCAAGCCTGAGAATCTCGGTTAAAATCTACAGGAAGCACCAGGAATGGCTATGCAAATCTTTTGTGGAGAGCCGGGCGTGGTGGCTCATGGCTATAATCCCAGCACTCGGGAGGCTGAGGCAGGAGGATCGCTGTGAGTTCGAAACCAGCCTGAGCTACATAGTGAGTTCCAGGTCAGTCTCAACTACATAGTGAGACCCTGTCTCAAAAAACCCCCCCGCAAAAAAAATCTTCTGTGGGGAGGTGGTGTCCACATCACACAGGTGGCCGGCCCTTCCTTCAACACTGATCTCCTTGGCCTCTGTCCCCTGCCCTCACCGCATCTCAGTCTGTGTATTCTCTTTAAGGAAATTCTCCCACTTCCTTAGCTCCAAGTATCATCTCAGAAGGTGATCCGGTTTCTTACTTTACTAAAATGAAATCAATGAGAACAAGCTCTCTCAGCTTCTTTTAGTTCTCCTTTTACATTTCTGCAAACATTTCTCTATATAGTTATCCTTGCTTTTGTATTCACCTCCTCAGAAGAGAGAGAATCTCTCCTCCTTTCACAGTCAGCTTCAAGTTGTGCCTTCATTTTCTCATCCTAAATGTTCCATCTCCATCAATTTTGAAAGATTGAGTTGCAGGGTATTAATCTGAGTTGGAGGTTGTTTTGTTGTAGGGCTTGAAATACTTGACTTCACGCTTTCCTTGACTTGAGAGCCTGCATTGAGAATTCTGCATTGAGATTCTGATGGGCTCTCCTTTATAGGTGATTTGTTTCTTTTATGTGACAGCTTTTAATATTCTGTTCTTGGTGCTCGCTTTGGCCGCGCATGTAATAATATCCCGTTCTTGTATTGAGTTTATGGAATTTTGACTATTATATGTCTTGACGTAGATTTTCTTTTGATCATGACTAATTGGATCATTTTTCTGTTTGTCAAATTATTTTTCCCTCCTTGGAAAGTTTTCTGCTGTTGCTTCTGTGATTGGGGTTTTTATGTCATTTGTGCTCTTCTCCTGCTTTCGTTGACTCTGATCAATCTTGTTTTCTTATTCTTTGCATCATTTAGCAGCTGTTGGATGATTCTTCATGGTCCTTTGATATTTTTAAGAAATCTTTCTTTCCATGATCACTCACCTATATCTAATATTTTGTCCTTACATTGGCTTATTCTCCACATGTACTTCAGTGGAATTTTTAATCTTCTGGATATCTGTTTGAATCTGTTTCATGAATTTCATTTCTTTCCTTTGTTGGATGTGCCTGGTTTTCCTTCATCTTCCTAAGCTCCTCTTTGTTTCATCTCCATTTGCTCTAGAGTCAATTATCCTATCTTTCATTATGGTCACCATCTCTGTAGCTATTTGGGAAACTACTTGTGATTTGATTTTTTTCTCTAGAGCCCATTCATCTGCTTTGTTGCTTCTGCTTTTACCACTTCCGAAAGTCCAGCGGGGTGGCTTTCAAATTGTTCCACCTCATTGCTCGCTAGGTTTGCCTTTGGTGAGCTGGAAGTTTGCATCTTGCATAAGTGTTTCTCATTTTCTTTTTCTTTAGTTTCATTCCTGGGTTGATACTTGCAAATTTGGTACGGTAAGTAGCTTTATTGGTAGTATTTAGAACCATTAGGGAATGACTACTTCTCAAAGAAGTTTTGCAGGTATAGCTGGCTTTTGAGGTTTGAGTCTGTTGCAAGATCTTACCTCTTTAACTGGGTGTGGTGGCGCACATCTGTAATCCCAGCACTTGGGAGGCTGAGGCAGGAGGATCACTGCAGGTTTGAGGCCAGCCTGGGCTACATAGTGAGTTTATGTCCAGTGTGAATTATACAATGAAATTCTGTTGGGCCTGGGATTTAGCTCAGTGATACCATCACCTGCTTCGCAAGTGCGAAGTCCTCAGTCCAATCTCTGGTACAAAAAAAAAAAAAAAAAAAAAAAAAAAAAAAAAAAAAAAAAAGAAAAACTATTACCTCTTTATTGAAAATGAGAAGTTTCTGCCTATTTGTCCTAACCCCTGGTTCTTTGGCACTGGCCTATAGTATTGTTTATGACTTTTAGGCAATCTCAGTCTTGGCATACCAGGAAGAAAAACTGATTAGAATAAGTATGATGTCATGGCTAAAGTAGTACAGTCAGCAATAACAACAGCATCAAACACAGCCTAGAAAATGACAAACTGTGGTAACTATTGATTTGCCACCTTTAACAGTACGAACTAGATTTGTGGTTATACAACGAAATCTAAAACAAAACAGAAAATTGTATATTGTAAATATGCCCTCGGTGTGGTGATTTTACCCTCAGGAGAGAAAATTTAAAAGGAGCTAGGGGGGATAATAGAGAAATACAAGTGGAAGAAGAGGTAAGAAACAAGGGAGAGTATTTAAACATTGGGGCCCTTGTGAAGAAGACAGGAGGGAAAGAGAGAAGGAAGAAATAAAAAGAATGGAACAGAACAACAACAAAAACTGGAAACAATGTTCACATTTATATAAAAATACGACCAGCTAAGAAAAAAAGAAAGAGAAAAAAACAAAAAGAAAAAAATGAAGAAAATAAGGGGGGAAATGTCCATTTCAAGGCATGTCTCTGCTGTCACTGGTAGACAGGTTTGGCACACAGAGCCCAGATCCATGTTGATTAATCCCAATAAGACAGCTGTAGATTTACAGTGGGGCGGTGGATAAATCTAGCAAGCCTGCACCTTTAGTTCTGAAGCTCAGGCTACTTCCTGGCTGTGAGGCTGGAACTCAATTTGTTCCTTCTGCAATACTCTGTGCCTCCTGCCAGCTTGAACATGCCTCCGTATCCTCCTGGCAACTTGATCTCGGTTCTGCCTCATCCTGATGGAGCCGGCCCACAGTGCTCTGAGTTCTGAGCTCGGTTGGGCCCCACCCAAGATGGCAACCAGCCAGTTACCCTCTCCTGGGGGACGTCTGAACCCAAATCACTCACCAGTTACTGCAGCCCACTGTGTCCATTGCTTTGTTCCACTGCTGCATCTCTCCATGGAGGTCACTAGTAGCCAGCATGCATCTGCAGAGTTGAGCTGCCCTTCCCATGAAGTCAGTCAGGGCTCAGGGAGAAAATGCCACTTGTCATTCCATCTTTGTTGAAGTCTCCTCACTCTCCCCATGGGCCTCAATTTTCACTTCAGATCCCACTTTCCTCCTTCCAGTCTTCCTCATGTTGCTATATTCCAACAAATCTCAGAGAGGCTGTTCACCTCCATCATCTTCTTGGAAGTCCAGGTGATATTAACCTTGACCAGTTGCCCAAGACTGCATCTGCTGGGCACCTCTGGTTTGAAATTAGTACTTTATTTTTGTTTTGTTTTATTTATTTATTTATTTATTTATTTATTATTTTTTGGTGGTACTGGGGATCAAACTCCTGACCTTGTGCTTGCAAGACAGGCGGCAGAACCACTGAGCTAAATCCCCAGCCCTGAAATTAGTGCTTTAAGACTAGGGATTTAGCTCAGTAGCACCTCATGTGCCTCACAATCATGAGGTCCTGAGTTTGAGCCTTGGTACCAAAATAAATAAATAAAATAAAATTACTACTCTACTCTGATTGATTTTTGTTTTGTTTTGTTTTCTGTTGGAGACAGGATCTTGTTATGTAGTTCAGGCTAGCCTTGAGCTCACTATGTAGCCCAGGCTGGCCTTGAACTCACAGGGATACTCCTGCTTCAGCCTCTTGTGTGCTGGAATTACAGGCGTGTACCACCATGCCGGGCTTACTCTGATCGAATCCTGAGTATAAAACCAGGGCCTCTTGCATGCTAGGCAAGTGCTCTGCCACTGATCTATGTCCCCAGATTTTATTTGTTTTTAGTTTTTTGAGACACGTTCTCACTATGTAGCTCAGTCCAGCCTCTAATTTGTGATCCTCCTGCCTCACTCTCGGGATTGAGGATGGAACACTTCACCCATCACCGTGTGAAGCTTTTAAGCAGATGAGTAACATACTCTTATCATAGGCCTCCTCTGGCTGCCATGTGGAGAATGTTGGGGACTGTGTGGAAGAAGGGAGACCAATGAAGCAGTGACCACGGTGACCAGGTCTGAGACGCTGGACACCAGGGTGGGTGGACCTGGGCTATGTCTGAGTTGGCACTGGCAGTGTTGGAGATGGAGGGACCGTGAGTGTGTGTGTTTTTTGGGATAGTTTTCAAGGAGCAGCCAGTATTTCTACTTTGCTTGAAAGAAAATGGTTTTGGGTAGAGGGTGCTGGAGATTGAACCCAGGGCCTTGTCCATGCTGCATACCAGAAGACAATTTTAAAGGGAAATTTTAGTTTTGCTAGTCTTCAAAAGGGAAAGGAAATATGTTTGCATTCCTCATCCCCCAAAATCACTTCCAAGGCTATGACTTTTGCTAAAGAGATCGGAGCTGGAGGTCTCTGGCAAGTCACTTAACCTCTCTGAGCGGGGCTTTCTTTTTATGGTGGTGTTTGAGACAGGGACTCACTCTGTAGTTCAAGTTGGCTTTTTTTTTTTTTTTGCGGTACTAGGAATTGAACTCCGGACCAGGCAGGCACAGCACCACTGAGCCACATCCTGGCCCATGGCTTTGAGCTCACTATGTAGCCCAGACTGGCCTCAAACACATGGCAATTCTCCTGCCTCAGCCTCCTGAGGACTGGGATTACAGGCGTGCACCATCAGGACTGGTTGATATCTACTGTTTTGTAGGTATAACCCACTTCATAATTTTAAAATTTCAGCTGGGCATGGTGATGCATGCCTGTAATCCCAGTGTTTGGAAGGCAGAGGCAGGAAGATCGCTGTGACTTTGAGGCCAGCCTGAGCTACATAATGAATTGCACACAAGCCTGAACTACCCAATGAGACCCTATAAACAAACAAACAAACATGTCTCTTCAGTCCAGGCGTAGTGGTGCATGCCTACACCTCAGCACTGAAGAGGCAGTACCAGAATGTGGTAATTCCTAACACTCCTAGCTCTAACTGCACATCCCAGAAATTCCGCTAGAGGACGCTTTCTTACCAGTCATCACTTCCCACAGTACCTGCTCTGCGTTTTTCCTCCACGTAGGCGTAGATTCTGTTCTTCCCGGGAGAGG